TAGACGCCCTTACCGCTCACATTCCTCACCACTCCCAGACGCCTTCACCACTCACAGAGGAAGGCGGCCACACAACACACAACTGCCTCACGCCTCACAAAGAAGTCAATTTGTTGAAAGCCTATAGCACAGTCCCTCTTCCTCCTCCTACACCACTTGGTATATTTCTTCCTGTGCTCTCTCTCTCTCTCTCTCTCTCTCTCTCTCTCTCTCTCTCTCTCTCTCTCTCTCTCTCTCTCTCTCTCTCTCTCTCTCTCTCTCTCTCTCTCCTTATATAGTGTCCACTTTTATTATGTATCTTGACAATAATAATAATAATAAATAATTCTCCCCGTCTCCCACTTATCATTTCTTGTTCCCTCTTACCGTTGATTCGCTCTCTCTTCTTTCTTGGTTTATTGTCCTTCTTCTTCACCTCCTCCTCCTCCTCTTTCACTCTCCCCCATCAATGACACACCCCCCTCCTCCTCCTCACACCTTCCACTACCTCACACAGCTGCCTCATCTTGCGGAATAGTTATTTTTATGAGGCGTTAAGACCGCTAACTGTTTCTTGGGGGTATTTGTGCCATAAAGGTGATTTGTGCGGCGTCTTGCGGTAAAAAGAGACCCTTCACGCCACCTAGCACTGTAATGACCCAAGTCTCATCCAAGGTGCTGGAGATATTGTGTTGGAGACTTTGGAGGAGGAGGAGGAGGAGGAGGGTTTTAATTGAGGGAGTGGTGAGGGTGTGAGGGAAGGAGGGCGTGAGGGAGAGAAAGAGGTGGGTGTGTAGGAGGGAGATGAGAGGGAGAGAGAGAGAGAAGGCAAGGAAATGAGTGGGAGGGAGGGAGGGAGGGAGGTAGGTAGGTCATCAGTCACCAGGCAGGACCACGCCACCACTCCATCAATTATTGGAAAAAGTCCTTGGCGGTGCCGTGGCTTACACTCCTCGGCTGGTAACCCAACTCTACCACCTTCTGCCACGCCACCCTTCGCCACCCCCTCGCCACCCCCACGCCACCCCTCGCCACCCCCACGCCACCCCTCGCCACCCCACCCTCTACCACGCCCCTACGTCACCCCCCCCTACTGTGTGTGTTTGCTTCTACGTCTCTTGATTTAATTATAATTTTCTTTGTTTTTCTCCTCGTAATTTGTAATGTTTTTTCCATTTTATTTATTATTATTATTATTATTATTATTATTATTATTATTATTATTATTATTATTATTATTATTATTATTATTATTATTATTATTAAACCACGTATTAAACCACATATCAAACCACACAATAAACCACATCTTAACCACACAATAAACCACATATTAAACCACACAATAAACCACACAATAAACCACACAATAAACCACATCTAAATCACACATTAAACCACATATTAAACCACACCCAATAAACCACACTAAACCACACAATAAACCACACAATAACCATCTAAACCACACAATAAACCACACAATAAACCACATCTAAATCACACATTAAACCACATATTAAACCACACAATAAACCACATACTAAACCACACAATAAACCACACAATAAACCACATAATAAACCACACAATAAACCACATCTAAATCACACATTAAACCACATATTAAACCACACAATAAACCACATACTAAACCACACAATAAACCACACAATAAACCAAATCTAAACCACACAATAAACCACATATTAAACCACACAATAAACCACATATTAAACCACGAACACAAAATCCCTCAAAGCCTTGTAAAAGATATTGACTTGTGTGTTTTCAGTGTGTCATTTTTCTCGCGTCATTAAAAGTTTTATGAGGCAGTTTACTGACGGCTAATGTTTACAGACAAAAGGTGTTGTTAGTGTATTAAGGCTTTTGTTTACCTCCAGCTGTTGTTAAGAGGTTGTTAGTGTATTGAGGCTTTTGTTTACCTCCTGCTGTTGTTAAGAGGTTGTTAGTGTATTGAGGCTTTTGTTTACCTCCAGCTGTTGTTAAGAGGTTGTTAGTGTATTGAGGCTTTTGTTTACCTCCAGCTGTTGTTAAGAGGTTGTTAGTGTATTGATGCTTTTGTTTACCTCCAGCTGTTGTTAAGAGGTTGTTAGTGTATTGATGCTTTTGTTTACCTCCAGCTGTTGTTAAGAGGTTGTTAGTGTATTGAGGCTTTTGTTTACCTCCAGCTGTTGTTAAGAGGTTGTTAGTGTATTGAGGCTTTTGTTTACCTCCAGCTGTTGTTAAGAGGTTGTTAGTGTATTGAGGCTTTTGTTTACCTCCAGCTGTTGTTAGTGTATTGAGGCTTTGTTTACCTCCAGCTGTTAGTGTGGTAGAGCTTTTGTTTACCTCAGCTGTTGTTAGTGTATTGAGGCTTTTGTTTACCTCCAGCTGTTGTTAGTGTGTGGGGCTTTTTGTTTACCCTCCAGCTGTTGTTGGTGTATTGGCTTTTTGTTTACCTCAGCTGTTGTTAAGAGGTTGGTAGTGTATTGAGGCTTTTGTTTACCTCCAGCTGTTGTTGGGTGTTGTTAGTGTGTGAGGCTTTGTTTACACACTCCAGCTGTTGTTAAGAGGTTGTTAGTGTATTGAGGCTTTTGTTTTGCACCTCCAGCTGTTGTTAGAGGTTGTTAGTGTATTGAGGCTTTGTTTACCTCAGCTGTTGTTAGAGGTTGTTAGTGTATTGAGGCTTTTGTTTACCTCCAGCTGTTGTTAAGAGGTTGTTAGTGTATTGAGGCTTTTGTTTACCTCCAGCTGTTGTTAAGAGGTTGTTAGTGTATTGAGGCTTTTGTTTACCTCCAGCTGTTGTTAAGAGGTTGTTAGTGTATTGAGGCTTTTGTTTACCTCCAGCTGTTGTTAAGAGGTTGTTAGTGTATTGAGGCTTTTGTTTACCTCCAGCTGTTGTTAAGAGGTTGTTAGTGTATTGAGGCTTTTGTTTACCTCCAGCTGTCGTTAAGAGGATTAAGGCTTTTGTTTACCTCCAGCTGTTGTTTAGAAGTTGTAATAATAATAAAAATAATGATAATAATAATAATAATAATAATAATAATAATAATAATAATAATGATTGTAATAATAATAATGATGATAAAACCTTTGTTGTAAACTATAATGAATAACTATGCAGGGGAACATTATTCACGATGTGTTGGGTAGTGTAATAAATAATAATGAATTAGCAGTAAGTGTAGCTCAGTAAATAGAGATATAATGTTAAAATAAAAATGATGTTTTTAACTTTAGGAGACATAATGAAAATAAACTGTATCTCTGTTTTGTACCCTAGTTTGTTCTTGTTACAGAATATAATGACGGTTAATTTGTTCATGTTACAGAATATAATGACGGTTAATTTGTTCTTGTTAGAGTATAATGATGGTTAATTGGTTTTTGTTATAGAGTATAATGACGGTTAATTTGTTCTTGTTATAGAGTTAATTTATTCAAGGTAGAGGTACTTGGTTGACCTCCCAGACAGTGTGTCAGGTGGAGGTCGGTGTTTGAGGTCAAGGCAACAGTTTCCTCACCCTCTGTCCTCCTGTTCTCACGAGGACACACCGGCGGCTGCTCACATACAGCTGGGTGGTGGGTGAGGACAGTCCCGTCAACAAGTATCACCTATCCTCTTCTTCCTCCTCCTCCTCCTCCTCTTTCTCCTCCTCCTCCTCTTTCTTCTCCTCCTCCTCTTCGTCCTCTTCCTTTTCCTCCTCCTCCGCCTCGTTCAGGTGTTGGGAGGACAATCTCGTCAAAGCCCATCACCCCCCTTCCTCCTCCTCCTCCTCCTCCTCCTCCTCCTCTTCTTCCCCTCTCCCCTCTTCCTCCTCCCCCTCTTCCTCTTTCCCCTCCCTCTTCCTTCCCCTCCTCCCTTTCTTCCTTCCTCCTCTCCTCCCTCCTCCTTCAGGTGTTGGGTGAGACAATCTCGTCAACAAGTATCACCCCTCTCCTCCTCCCTCCCCCCCTCTCCTCCTCCCTCCCCCCTCCCACCTCCCTCCCCTCTCCTCCTCCCCCTCCTCCTCCGTCAGCAAAGTATTAAAGTTTTGCTTGTGATTTCAAAAAGTTTTCCTCCTCTTCATTCACCGTCATCCCGCTTAATTTATTAAAGTTTTTTGGACTTGTAAAACTTTATTCATTCATCATCTCTCTCTCTCTCTCTCTCTCTCTCTCTCTCTCTCTCTCTCTCTCTCTCTCTCTCTCTCTCTCTCTCTCTCTCTTTCTTTCTTTCTTTCTTTCTTTCTTAATCCAGCTATTTTTCTCTCCTATCTTTATATTTCCCTCTTCTTCTCTTCCCCTATTTCTCATTCCTGTCCTTCTCCCTTTCTCTTTCTCTTTTTAATCTTACCTTCTCGTCATTCTCTCATAACCCCCTATCGTTGACATCTCCTCCTCTTGTCTCTTTTCCTTTTTCATTCTCTCTCTCTTTATTTTTATCTCATCGACTCTCTCTCTCTCTTTCTGTGTGTGTGTTATCCGTTCCTTCCTCTTCTATCACTTCTGTGGGAAAGGGGAAAGAAGGAATGTAGACAGTAGGAGGAAGGAGGAGGAGGAGAAGGAGAGAATGTAAATTGTGGAGAAGGAGATAAGGAGATGGAAGGAGGAGGAGAAGGAGAAAGGAATAGAATGCAAGAATAGAATGCAAGAGGTGGCGACAGAATATAAAGAGGTGAGGTCGATCTGGGTCAAGAAGAGGTAAGTAAGAGGAGGAAGAAGAAGAGGAAGAGGAGGAGGAGGAGGAGGAGGAAGACACATAAAGTGTTTAGCTTCAAGATAAAAACACAAATCTACTCTTAACACTGAGACACCATAGGCAGGCATACTCTCTCTCTCTCTCTCTCTCTCTCTCTCTCTCTCTCTCTCTCTCTCTCTCTCTTCCCCCATGACAAATAGTATTTCCGGCGCCGGGCTACAGTAAGTCCTGCCAGAATGTCAGGAGTATTTTTATAACACGGATAATACCTGTGCTTACCTGTAATTTAATGCCTTTTACACCTGTACTCACCTTTAATCTAATTCATCTTTCTTTTGCAGTGATAGACGCGTTGCTGTTGCTTCTCCACGTCTCCTACGCACAGAGTAAGTACATTATCTCTTGTCTCTTCCTTCTCCTTCTCTTGTTTCTCTCTCTGTCTCGGTTTTGGAGAGAGTAAATACATTATCTGTCTTTTCCTCTCTCTCTCTCTCTCTCTCTATTGTGGAGGGAGTAAATACATTATCTCTCTCTTTCTCTCTGTATCCCAGTTTGGGGAGAAGTTCTCAATAGGGTATGAAGTCTCTTGTTAGGCGTGTTGTTATAAGCACGACCTAAGATGATGTTGACCTTCGTATTTGACCTGCAGTGACTCTGTGTGTGGTGACCTGAGCACTTGGCACATCTGCGGTCATGGCCACGTACACCCAAACTGGTCCTAGTACATAGTTTCTGTTCCTAGTACGTAGTTTAATGTTCCTAGTATGTAGTTTAATGTTCCTAGTACGTAGTTTCTGTTCCTAGTACGTAGTTTAATGTTCCTAGTACGTAGTTTAATGTTCCTAGTACGTAGTTTAATGTTCCTAGTACGTAGTTTAATGTTCCCAATACGTAGTTTAATGTTCCTAGTACGTAGTTTAATTTTCCTAGTACGTAGTTTAATGTTCCTAGTACGTAGTTTCTGTTCCTAGTACGTAGTTTAATGTTCCTAGTACGTAGTTTAATGTTCCTAGTACGTAGTTTCGTTCCTAGTACGTAGTATAATGTTCCTAGTACGTAGTTTAATGTTCCTAGTAAGGTAGTTTCTGTTCCTAGTACATAGTTTCTGTTCCTAGTACATAGTTTCTGTTCCTAGTACGTAGTTTAATTTTCCTAGTACGTAGTTTCTGTTCCTAGTACGTAGTTTCTGTTCCTAGTACGTAGTTTCTGTTCCTAGCACGTAGTTTCTGTTCTAGTACATAGTTTCTGTTCCTAGTACGTAGTTTCTGTTCCTAGCACGTAGTTTCTGTTCCTAGTACGTAGTTTAATGTTCCTAGTACGTAGTTTAATGTTCCTAGTACGTAGTTTCTGTTCCTAGCACGTAGTTTCTGTTCCTAGTACGTAGTTTAATGTTCCTAGTACGTAGTTCACCCTGTTTGTGTTTTTCAGTAATGTTATATACGTTTCCATCATTTTTTTTTCTTCGTATTTTAAACTGAAATATTTATCTCACCTAAACGAGATGAAGGTAGTGATGTATCGTGTACAGGTGAGATATCGTGTACAGGTGAGATATCGTGTACAGGTGAGATATCGCGTACAGGTGAGATATCGTGTACAGGTGAGATATCGTGTACAGGTGAGATATCGTGTACAGGTGAGATATCGTGTACAGGTGAGATATCGTGTACAGGTGAGATATCGTGTACAGGTGAGATATCGTGTACAGGTAAGATATCGTGTACAGGTAAGACGTACAGGAAAAGATATCGTGTACAGGTGAGATATCGTGTACAGGTGAGATATCGTGTACAGGTGAGATATCGTGTACAGGTGAGATATCGTGTACAGGTGAGATATCGTGTACAGGTAAGATATCGTGTACAGGTAAGATATCGTGTACAGGTAAGATATCGTGTACAGGTGAGATATCGTGTACAGGTGAGATATCGTGTACAGGTGAGATATCATGTACAGGTGAGATATCGTGTACAGGTGAGATATCGTATACAGGTGAGATCCCATGATTTTTTTTATTTTATTTGTTTCATCTTTTATTTATATTTTTTGTTATCCTTGGTTAGATTGACTTGTCGTTTACCATTGTTTGTATATCTGGACTGTCTAGATACATTGTTTGTATACCTTAACTCGTCTGTATTGTGTATGTGCATTGTCTATACACTTGCTGAATTGTATGACCACATTGTCTAGGTATATTGTGTGTGTACTTGCTGAATTAGTGTGAACTTGTAGGCCGATTTCACTGAATAGAGCTGAACTGAAGTGAGGTTGTCGGAGAGATAAGTGTGTGTCCATCTGGCGGTCAGCTTCAAGTGTGTGTGAGAGAGAGAGAGAGAGAGAGAGAGAGAGAGAGAGAGAGAGAGAGAGACCCCTTTTTCGTGTGGTCCTCTGAGATTAATTTACCACATAACGTTTGACCTTTACTACCAACACAACAGATTAAGTCTTTTTTAGTCTCCTCTTTGGTCGTGTCAGTTTCACCGGGGTCTCCTGAACGGATGCAAAATTCACCATCAATAACAGGTCTCCAAAAAACACGTCTAATAGAGTTTAATATTAAGTTTTATAATTTTTGTATTGGTAAAAAAAAAAAACCCTCACATTAGCATTTACCGAGTCTATGGAAATCTTTTTTTATATGACATTACACAACTTGGAGATAATAAAACCATTACATAACCCGGATATATGTGTATATATATAGTTGGTCGCCAGCCTCGTCACTCTTTCCACCAGATGAAATTCCCACCCTAGGACCAATTTTCCGGGTTGTTGGGCGGTGTGGGAAGCCGAGAGGGGCGTCCTTATGCTAATGCCGGGTTATTTAGAGGCCTTGTCCTTTAATCAAACCCTGGCTGCTATTAGACTTGGCCAATTTGGGTTTGTGATGAATTGTGGGTCATCACTTTGGTCTCCATGCTGTTACATAGGGGGGGGGGGGTAGTGAGGGCGTGGGTGGTCGAGGGCGTGGGGTGGTGGTGGTGGTGGCACGGGGGTGGTAGGGTGTGACGGTGCAGGCAGATGAAGCTACCCCCACCTCCCCAACACTTCTCACCTCCTCCCGTCACCTCCCTCCCTCACCTCCCCCTTCCCTCACCTCCCTCTCCCCGTCACCACCTCCCCCTCCCCGTCACCTCCCCTTTCCCCACCTCCCGTCTCCCGTCACCTCCCCTCCCCCCTCACCTCCCCCTCTCCCCCCTCACCTCCCCCTCCCCTGCTCACCTCCTCTCCCCCTCACCTCCCCCTCACGTTCCCCTCGTCCTCCCTTCCCTTTCTCACCTCCCCTTCTGTCACCTCCCCCTCTCCTCACCTCTCCCTCACGTTCCTCCTCACTTCTCTCCCCCCTCACTTCCCCCAGACGAAGGCAACACGTCAGATTAATTCCCTGATACCACGGTCAGATACACCAGGTGATTTACAACTGACGGGATGTCGACACTTAGTCACTTCGCTCCCTCTGTCGTGATGAGTGTGTGATGAGTGTAAGTGGTTGAGGGCGGATGAGTGGGTGGTGAGGGGGAGGGGGGGAGTGTAGGTGGGGGGAGGTGAGGGAGGGGATGAGTGAGGGAGTGGTGAGGGGTAGACAACATCATCGTCATCACGTCACCGGCCACATTCGACACTGCCTCGTCATTCATTGGGGCGTCAGCAAGCCTTCCCTCCCGGTGTGTCTTTAGGGGTGAGGGGGGTGGAGGTGTGAGCCTCAGGTGAGTAGTGAGGGTGGTGGTGGAGGTGTGAGTCTCAGGTGAATAGTGAGGGGTAGTGGAGGTGTGAGTCTCAGGTGAGTAGGAGGGTGGTGGTGGAGGTGAGTCTCAGGTGAGTAGTGAGGGGTGATGGAGGTGTGAGTCTCCAGTGAGTGAGTGAGGGTGGGTGGTGGAGGTGTGAGGTCAGGTGAGTAGTGAGGGGTAGTGGTGGGGTGTGAGGTTGATGAGTAGTGAGGGGTATGGTGGAGTGTGAGTCTCAGATGAGTAGTGAGGGGTAGTGTGGAGGTGAGTCTCAGGTGAGTAGGATGAAGTGGTGGAGGTGTGAGGTCAGGATGAGTAGTGAGGGTAGTGGTGGAGGTGTGAGTCTCAGGTGAGTAGTGAGGGGTAGTGGTGGAGGTGTGAGTCTCAGGTGAGTAGTACACTTAATAGCCATGGGTAAGTACCTTTAGTAGTCGCGGTTAAGTCCAAAATATAAGTGAATTTTGAAGGTGATGTAAACAGCTGGTTGTGTGAGGTAAGCGAGGAGACGTGTGCCTGCATACTGAGGGAGGGGGGGGGAGGAGAGGCATGGAGGAAAGTAGGGAATGGTGGAAGGGAAGGAGGAAGGGAGGCTGTGATGATGGGAGGGGGAGAGAGAAAGAGAGAGACAGGGAAGAAGAGGGGTGGGGTGGGAAAGGGGAAAGAAGGAGGGTGGGAAGGAATGGGGAAGAGGGAAGGAAGTGAGGGAATGGAGGAAATGAAGGGAAGGAAGGAGCGATGGCGGGAAGGAGGGAGAGAGAAAAGGAGTGATGGAGGGGAAGTGGAAGGGGTAACCTACCTGTGTGTGTTTACCTGAGATACCATTTACCTGGGTGACCACAGTATAAAATATTCCTTGAAAGGTGTGATGTGTTGAGAGTAGGAAGATGTTATGAACTGTATGAAAATATCTTGATTGTACTGGAGTAAATTAACATAAGACATATTTTAAATCACCTGAAAATTAGCCCCCCCCAGATTATTTCACCTTAAGATTAAACACCCTAACCTAACCTAACCTAAACTAACAATGCAGCCGTGAGTGTGAGAACAGTACCGGGCTTAATAATGGAGGGTTCCTCTAAACAGGTGACCCGCAGGTAAATCGTGTAAATAATTATCCCTGTGTTCAACCTTCTACCTTTATTATTTTCTGCATCTATCTATTTTCCTCTCCTTCTCCTCCTCCTCACCCCTCTTCCTCCCCCACACACCCCCTCCTCCTCACCCACGCACCCCTCCTTCTCCTCCTTCCCCCCCACACACTCCTCCTGCTGGCTCCGGGAGAGGTCGCTGCTACAGGAGTGATACCCCCGACCAATGTTGCTTGGTCAAAGGAGAGTCTGGCCGGGGTCGACAAGTGTTCCGGTACAGGTTGACCCAAAAAGGCCACAAGATTTAATGAGCCGTATTTCTCAGGCAAGAGGGAAGGTCGATGTGGCACGGTCAGGGAGGCTGTGTTGTGTGTGTTGCTGTGTCTCGCTGTGTTGCTGTGTCTCGCTGTGTTGCTGTGTCTCGCTGTGTTGTGTGTCTCGCTGTGTTGTGTGTCTCGCTGTGTTGTGTGTCTCGCTGTGTTGTGTGTCTCGTTGTGTTGCTTGCTGTCTCGTTGTGTTGTGTGTCTCGTTGTGTTTGTGTCTCGCTGTGTTGCTGTGTCTCGCTGT